ACGTGGTAAAATTAAATATTCTAAGTTAAAAATTTTTTTTGGCATTTTGAATTATTTGATCCAAGTCTGTTGATTTGGCAGAAATTATTAAGTTATAGATATTAGCGACGTTCTTTATATCCAGGGGAAGAAGTATATGTCTAGCCGGTGCATATTGATCGGCTGAGGTCGCGACGTCGGCTACGCCAGGGGAAATTGGATGCACTTACACCGAATTTTATAGATATATTTTTAAATAAAAAGTTATATAAATAAAAAATGCTTAGTAATTTGTTTTTTAAATAATAGTAAACAAAATTAAAATTATTATCCTTAATTAATTTTAACTTATTTAAATTACACATAGAACAATATGGCTTAAATAATTAATATTATATTTTATATTTTTTCTTTATGGTTATAAATATAATAATGGCAACAATAAATATAGATTACTAATTAATATTTTTAAAATTGTAATAATAACAGCAAAAATAAATAAATAATATTCCATATTCAATTATAAAACTAATTAAAATTATATAAAAAAAAAGTTTAAAGGTAAAAAAAATATTGTAAGGTAATTGGTGCAATTTTCATTTTGTTATTTGTGGGTAGCCTGTCTGTAACAACTATACCTTTGAGACATTTAACACCTTAGTCTCTCCCGTGACCATGAATGCTGTAAAGCATTCGAAACGTCGGGAACCAAAAATCCAAATAAATCCGCAAAAAAAACCGAAAAGATTATTTAAAATGTCAAATTTTCGTGTAAATCTAAGAAAGTATTATTAGATATATTTTCTTAAATTATCGATTAGGTATATGAAACAGTTAAATATATTATCCAACTGGATGCACTTAAAATTATTGAATTAATACTTAATTGAACTTTCTATTACATCTTACCCTACATTATAACTATTATTTAACGATTCTAAAACTTTTAAACTTTCTATATTATTGTGCCATTACAATTATATCATTATTAGCTTAAATGTATATTTCCAACCATCAAATATAAACCATCATATTACCTACATCTACCTAAAAATGTGTAGATCACACAGATTTAGCTCTACCAAACGAAAGAAAACATTTATGTTCTACTAAAAATCTGAAAATGCTGTGAACATTTATGCTAATACGTAGGTATCGTCACGTTAAAAAATGGGTAAATCAAAATAGGTTTATTGTGCTTGACAAAAAAAAAATGATTTTTATGTGGGAACATTAGAAGTGTATATTTGTGTCTTTTAAATTAATAAAAATAAAACTGTTCCATCAACAACTATTACGTATACTTAAACAATGCTAAGTATTTATAATCTGTCATCATCATCATTTTCAGGTGTTTGTACTTTGTAGTTTTGACTTTTTTTTAGTTTGGCTTCGAGTAGTACTATTTTTTTATCTGTCTGCTCTCTTTTAATTGGTCAATAAAAAGATATTACTAATAGTATTATTCAATATTTCTAAATAACGGTGTCACAACGGTATAATGCATAAGCTTGCATGCGTCGCGCATGCGGCCTGGGTCTGTGTCGGGAGTCGGACACCCTCCGACGGGCCGCGTGTCCTCGTGCCCTTCCCGGGACAGCCGACTTTCACTCCCGAACTAATCTATACAGTAAGCTTACTATACTACTATACAGCTTACACGCAATGCGTATTGCCCTTGTGCACATGAAGGATTCTTAAGGACTTCAATTTTGAGACCAATTTCGAATGATTTGAAATTATCACGATGTTATACAATATAAATAGATACATACGTATATTTACTATTGAATAACGGTAATCCGTGGAATACTTTTATACGAGTATATGTGTTATTAAGTTGATTTTTGAGTACTCGATTTTTTGACCATAATTTAAATGTTAACGAATGAATATTATATGGGTTCAAATGCAATCGAACTTACACCAAGTTACTTCGTAAATAAGGCAATATTCATATTATCTTTTTATTTTTCTTATATTATGAGAAACTTTTAAATTATTACAGTTGTAAGAATTTTAAGCAATAATTATCTACACATAAATCGATTAATTAATCATTACGATTAAAGAATTAAAAGGTGATTTATGTATGCTTATGTTAGTGTTACCATTTTAACTTCGGATCTTTATACTGAATTGCTAATGCAAATGAAAATAAATTCCAACTTGACTACATTGAAACCTGTCGCCAAAATAGAGGTAAGCATCAACGGCGGCAGCCGTGAGCCTTCGGTGGCAGTGACCCGATCGCGCCCTCTACTGCACCACCTAGCGCCTCCCCAACTCCCTTGCCGTTCATCCTTATTCTCTACTTTTACGAAGAAATTGAAAAGTGCCATTTTCGAGGGCTTAGTTAACAAATAAAGCATGAATAAATAATATATAGGTTTATCAGACGGTAATTGTAATTTCATTCTTATGTTTGTTTTCACGGCATAATTCTTTTACCATCATATTCTCTTGTTTTTTTTCTACAAAATCTGTTTCAATTGGACGTTTTAATATAATAAAATTATTTTACTTCACATTTCAAAGTGTGAAATATTTTATAATGAAATCGGCGAGTTCAGGGTCATATGAAATGCTGTATCAAGCATTTTATATGTAGATAAAAATTTCGTGTATTATCTTCTTTAAGCGATATACGAGTAACTCATTACGATTTAAGCACATCCCAGATACATGATGTTCAATGGCTGCTATATCTATCTAGATGCTTATCACTCCTTATCAGTGAGCGTGTCGAAGTGATCATTGGGGATCGATCGCGTATCGCCACGATTTTCCATCATAATTAACGAAATAAATTATTTGATTATCTTATTCTAATTTTACTAACTTGACAAAACAAAAAAAATACTATTTATACCTATGTATTCATAATTTTTATGGGCCATAGAGCATTCAGCATTCTTCCGGAAGAAGAATTGTGTGAAGGTTATTTAATAAGTTACGAATAATCCATTATGCTGACTTTGTAGTACATGCTCGATATCTAGACACGGGGTAGTGTGTCAAGCCAAGTTCCAGCCAAACGAACAGGCAACGCAGCAGCCGTGTGTTATATGAAATACACAAACCATTTGCAGCCACTTTTGATCTCTCAATAACTCAAAATATATTTAACATAAACACATGAAATTAGGCTCATTTATTAAATCTTCTTAGATTAACTATAACCTCAAATTTCATTAATACAGCTAAAACCGTATTGAGATATTAACGTCTAAAAATCAGCATTTTTATTACTGACTGACTGAAATATAGATTAAAAAACTAACCCACTTCCAGATCACCTAGAAAGTTTAAATTTGGCGTTCAGATGGGTAATTGTATATATACAAAGGAAAAAATTCGAAAACAGTGAATTTTTATGATTTGAAATATTTTCCAAGCAATCAATTTTAATTAACCCCTAGCCTAACTACCCTAGCCTTTCGTAATTATAATAGCAAAAACTTTTTCTTTCGTAGGCGAATAGGTTTCAGGATGAAAAGTCGCTTTTATCGTTTTTCTAGAGCCGATAGAGTTTTTTTACTGATACAAAAATGTTTGCTATTTATAAATATAACTGCTTAAATTTAAACAGTCAAGTTATTTCGCAAAGTAGATAACTTAGGAGTTAGGATAAAATGAAGTTTAAGATTTGACTTCGCTATTTTTTACCAGCAAACCAATTTTTAGAACAGTAACTTAAGTTGACGTTACAATATAAAAACAGTAACTTGCTTATAACACAAAGAAGATATAAGTTGATTGGCCAAATGAAAGACAACCTATATGTGAAAACTATCAATATATATCACTATAAGAAAAACAAGTCAAATCTTGAGCTTCATTTTATGCTTAGTTATCTGTTTTGTGTAAATAACTCGACTGTTTAAATTTATATATAGCGAACATTGTCGTAGCAGAAAATAACAAGAAAATGTGTTTTAAATTTATTTTAGAATGTTGTATGTTGTAATATTTTAAATAAGAATATTTCCAATATTCGCGTAAATCTAAGAAAGTATTATGTTGTATATTCTTATAAATAAACTCTCAGGATTATCTACTGAACTTGGCACCCATTTAGATCTCATTTTTATGGTCGGCGAAGTCGATATTGAACTTGGCTTCCGTTTTCACATTTATGTTTTTGATGTACTTTATTACGCTACATGGTGTTTACATTCCCGCAAGTCTGCTGTGATATTAAAATCATTATTTTGTTCCTTATTTTATAAATAACACGCACAAAACAAATATAAAGACTTTAAGCAAAGGGTTAATAATAAAATAGCATGAAAAGTTTATTTCTTTGGGTTTTCACTTTTATAAATCATGAATAAAAACTATACTTTTATAATGGACCTCAGTATTTAGAAAATTATAGTAATTCGTACGAAATAAAGAGTTGAAGTATTTAAGTATTATTGGTCTTCCCCAGCGTCATCAAAAAAAAATCATTGAAGGTCTGTTTGTATTCTTACGTACATTAGATGTAAATGGGAATTTTATAATATTTATGTTAAAATAGTTATATAATGTGTCATGTATCGTTTTACGAGTATATATATATTTTCTTGTATAATATATAAATATTATCTTGTTGGTTTAAAATATTTTAACTTTTTTAAGAGTTAGTATAATATTTATTTTCTAACAAAAAGTTACCTATTAAAATTAACTGGTATTTTTCTAATAAGAAAATCACAAACCTATGCATGTTTTATTATTATAAAATTTAATTATTTTTTTTTACAATTTTTAGGTGTACGAAATGGCCTAAAATGAAATAAGTTCTTTAATTCTTTATTTCCAAAAGGTAGTACAGCCAGATATTTGCTTAACACTTAATAAATCTAATTTGGTACATACAAATATTTGAAACATATCATCTGCAGCTGAACTAGGAGACGTATGCATCACTGCTGAAATCGCAGATATATTAAGTTGATAGTTGTAAACTCTAGCAGAATTTTTAATGGGGAACTTAAAGATCATTGCACTGAAGAGGTCAGAACATAAGGTTAAAGTTGACGTCGGGTGTGTTGCAGGCGGCGTGGTGTCGAGTGCTGGGCGGGCGGTGCAGGACACCTGAGGGCGCGGGCGAGGGCGCGCGGGGGTCGCTGCAGATTCACTTTCGTCCGGCCGCGGCTGCCGCCACGCCAGTGAGAGAAAGTTGGTCGCGGCGAACGAACGATTCCCGTGAGTGAGCGGCGCGCGCCGACCCACTGTACGCGCGATATATCGCCGCCCTTGTAAACAGATATCGTGATACACATATGACGATAAATCATAGATCTGTATGATTTTTGGAATTGTGGGGATTTGTTAAAAGTTTTCCATAGAGATTTAAATAAACTATATTTTTTAAACTATTTAATTTGATAAGATAATAAAAATGCAGTGCTATAAACTGTCGCCGAAACGCGAACCCTTGGAACATGGGTTCGACATGGAGATGATGGGGGGTGCTCGAAGATTGGAACTCCCAGCACCTCCTGGAAAAGAGTTCCGTGCACCGTGCTTGCTGCCGGCGCCGGCGCCGCCTCCGCCGCCGACACATTCGGTTATACAATGCATGCGTCCACCACCGCCACCGCCGCCACCATCTCGTCTTCACAAGCCACCTCCTTTCGAGGAACCTTCTAGTTCGATTCCAGACCTAGGTAAGTCTTTTATATATTCCGAATGTCTTATATACCGTTCAGGTACTACCATCACAGGTAATTCAAAAAAGGTAATAAAGTAAATTGTTAAAGGAAAATATAAATATTTTTTTATACTTATAAAAGTTAATTTAAATAAACACAAAAAAAATGAAATTATTATCTACATCGTCATTACAATATGATGATACAGATAAGACTATTTTTTACCTTACCTTGATCATCACAGGCTTATACTTCCTGATTTGGAAAATTGTAACACTGCGTTACAGTTACATAGCAATTTCCGGGTGATGACGATGATTAACGAAGGTCATATTTATTGCAAATATAAATATACACAGTGCTTTGATTACTCTTATTATACACATTACACATAAATGTAAACAAAGTAAGATTATGAATGTCTACATATAGATAATGATGATATAACTATATCGAATGCGGATGCTCAATAGAAGGATTTTTGCACAGTATTCAAGGATTTATATTTATTACAGAGTGCGTGTAAGTGTAGGTACTTATTGCTTGTAATTATTATTCTAAATACATATTGTTAAATATTTTATATAATTATTTTCATCTTTAAAAAAATATTTCCAGGTGTTCTATTTAAAACCCGAAATTCTATAATGAGCAACTTTTAAAGGGCTAATATATAATATGTATTTCTTAATAATAATAAAAGTAAAAAAATGTAAAATTAGAAACATATAAGAAACATGTTTTAAAGTGTATTATGTTTCTGCTCTATTGTAAATACGGCAATCCATATGAGCATTAAGTATATGCCGTATGTATGTTAATAAATTATCAAAATTAGTTTAAAAAGTAAAACAAACAGACTAACGTGAGGGGTTCCAACCACGATTCTATAAAATAAAAATGAAATATCGTTGGTAAGATCATCAATTCGAAATGACTAGACAAAGGTATTTTTTAAATGTTTATAATAGTTAAAGCGAAGTTTTTAAGAAAACAAATCGGGAAAGTTGCCCGGAATATTACAAAATTCAGGGAAAATTGATTTCTTTTTCTATAGGATATTTTTGTACACACTCAAAGATGAAAAAAAATTGAAATTCGGACAACGTCTATCAGGTCACCTAGTCAAAATATTTAAGGCAAATAAAAAAATATCTGCTTATATGAGTGGAGTTACGAAACCTTTAGTGTGCGAGTTGGATTCATAGTTGGCTAATTTTATTAAAGCTAACAATAAAAGCACGTGCTACGTTTATCTTATAATTTGTTTCTAAACAGTATTACTAATCTTTTTACAGTGGTAAATAAAACCTAAAATATTTTTATCATTATTGTCCCAGCAATTGAGTGTTGGACAAGTGATTAAAATGAAAGCATAAATTTTATAAACATCTGCAAGAATAAAGTTAATAGCTGACGCTAGTAATTAATCTTCTTATTTAGAAATCGCTAAGAATAATAAATCAATACTAATATATTTACACCACTCACGCTATGTTTGCTTACTAACAGAGAGAAATAAAATAATTCTCTTACCAACACATATTTTTATTTTATTTTATTTATTAAAAGGACAACCAACAAAAGATACATTAAAAACGGCATAATATTCATGTGTTAACAATTTCATAAATGTTCTTTTAGTAATAGGTTATCACAACATGCTCTTTTTTTTTAAATCACGTCAATAACATTTAATTACAAGATGCAAATTTAAAATTAAATAATAATAATAAGTTAATAATTAAAGTTTACATTAAATTATAAAATTAATAAATGACAATTTTAATATAAAAAATTACACAATCAGACATATAATTAGAATAAATTAGATAATAATATTTAAATAGTCAATCCAATAAAACAAGAAAATTCAATTTGGGATTAGAATTAATAGCAACGCATAAAACAAAGTAATACAAAAGAAATATTATACTACCTAGTTAGTACTAATAATATTTCAAAATTATGTTAATTATCTGATCATAAGGCGACTGTTACTAATATATATTATATTATACATGTATGTATGTATTAATTAATAAAATATTGCGTGATAATGGCGGAATTAATGTGGCTAGTCCTGAGTTCTACAGCAGAAATTTTATTGCATATTTTTTCTCTGTTGGTTATGAATTAAAAATAGCATAAAACATATTGGATACTACAGATACAAAAGCTAACGACAGTTGAGGTACAGTGGAATATGAACCAGTCTGGCAGTGCCCTCTACGACGCAGATCAGCCACCCAATGCAATATCTCGATATTGGTAGAAAGTAGAAAACGCGATAAGGATCCAAAAATTATACTTATAAATTGATGATGATGATGTTCTCCTGACCTATTCCGGCCACGGCGGCCAATCTCATTGAGACTAGCCAACTGCGCAGGAGATATTATAGTGCACAAGTGTACGCGCAGACACAACGTGCACTCTCAATTCCTGTCACTCTCATACTCCGGTGGGACGACTGCTCGACTCGACCAGTGAGAGTTAGGGCGCAGGACCGGCTTTACGCGCTCTCCGAGGCACAAGGTTGAAACATCGCCAACTTCCCAACTCCGGGCTCTTACTGAGGCTTAATATACATAAAGAATCAATAACTAAACTTGGCCCGACCCGGGACTCGGACCCAGGACCTCCGGGTATGCAGCCGTACATGCTAGCCACTACACAACCGAGACATTTAATTTTTTTTACTTATAAATTATAAAATATATTACTGAAAATTGTGAATACGCTGCTGGCTGGTTAGTCACTACAGTCCGTCTATCTTACAAGGGTTTCAACATAGAGCAATATTATTCATGTGAATACGTATGTATGTATATTCATAATTATTACACATCAGAGAATATATATTTTATCGTCCAAACAACTTGAAAAGAAACGTTGAATTCTTTGTTATGCCTATATTCATAATAAAATATTTAAGAATCACTATATATGTATCTTCTGTCTTGAATTATTATTATATGAATTTAGAAATATTTATTACTGAAAAATAAAACTACAAAAATCTCTAAAAAGGTAGTTTCATACAAACTTTCATCCGCTATTTTATCCCCTTATATGATGAATTTCGAAAAATGGTGAAAGACATATTTATTCATTTTTATTGAAGAGCATTAATACCAACTTTCAAGTAATTCTGATCATACATTTTTTTTGGATTGTATTATAACGAGTTTTCCCCGTGGGAATTAGTTGATTTTCCGCGGTAAAAAGTAGCCTATGTCACTCTCCAGCCCTCTAACTATCTCCACACAAAAAATCACGCCAATCTGTCACTCTGTTTCGTCGTGAAAGAAGGACAAACAAACAAACACACTTTCAAATTTGTAATATTAGTATGGATTAATGAGCAACGAGAAGTACGTACCCATGCACTCACAAGAGTATTAGATCTCCTAACTGGACAGATTCCTTTGTATGATGGATGATGACAACAAAAGATAAAATTATATATTAAAATCACTAATTATATTAATAATATTAAATATGTTGGGACATTAACACAGAGCACCATCTAGTTCCATGGTAACCTACGGGGCTTGTGTTATGGATACCAGATAGTTGATACTTGATACACTACATATATATAACTTTAAATACATATATATTATAAATATAAACACCCATGACTGGAATACAAACATTCGTGCTCAACACACAAATAAATGCCCCCAGCAGGATTCGAACCCGCGACCGCTGGCACAGCGAGTAGGGTCACTACAAACTGAGCCAAACGTGTCGTCATATTTTGAGCAACTTACACAATAATATTAATAAAAACATTATATAAGCCAATATCCAGAACTACCTATATTCTTTGGACTCTGAAAATAGCTAAACAATTCATTATATAAAGTTAGTTAAAGATTTAATTACATTTAGAAAAATCAAAAAAATAACACTTTTGCCGAAATGATGTATGAACCTCGTCGACGTCGTGGTTAAGACGAAGGTACAAATTGACATGACTCTTAGAAGTTGGTAAAAATCGACTTCCAAGATTCGATCACATCATCATCACTAGTGAAGCTAATAAAAGCATGTTAATAAAAATGAATTTACCACAAATATCACTTATTTTTTTAACTTACAGAGTAGTTTCACCTTCACCTGATGAACTTGATAAATTAGGTAAATAGACGTTCATGGTCTTTGCTTCTGTAGTTTATTGTTATTTTTTTTAGATAGGCTTTGTGACATCTTACTGTGTTACCAGATAGATATACACCGACATAAAGAACCTGTTTCAAGTAGCCCTACATTGCAATTTATTTATGTTAGAACAATTTGGCATAAGCATTTGTATAATTCACGTAATCCAGTGTCATTCAGACCCATACTATAATATCAAGATAATATCTCTACCTATAATAAAACAAAAACTTAAGGAAATTTGTACATGAAATATTTTTTTAAAAAGATGACTGTAACGTATTGTGTACAGAATACATATAGATTTCGAAACAATAGTTATCAAAATTTGTGTTCGCGTTTTACGCAAAAAGTACTGTACCGATTTTAATGAAATTTTGTGTAGTGATAACTTATTACTAGAGTTAACATTAAGAATACCTTTTACTACAAGAAAAAATTTCATCCTCACGGAAAAAAAACAATAACTGGTTCTATAGAGTCGTCCTTAGGAATTAACGCTTAGCTAACGAACTACAAAATTGTAAGTCTTAAAACACACAAAAATTTGACAGACAAAAATTTGAAAACCAATATTCAATATATATTCGTTTTTTTTTTAAATTCGAAATGAATTATTTAAGGGACAAAATGGAGTGGTAAAGTTTATTTGGGATTTTTTTATATCATTAGTATTACTTGAAGCTTAATATTAACGTTCTGGTAAATGTATAGATAGTAAGAATATCTGCCATTTTTATTGTTAAATTTAGATATTCAGCTCCAAAATTATAAACAAAGATAAAATATACACATACAGATTATACGAAATCCATCCTTTGAGAGGATAAAAATATTTTCAGTAGGTAGCTTAAAAGTCGCTATTAATCATTCTGACGCTGAATTAACGAAACATTAAAACACTTCCATGGGTTTATTTTTTTATAAAAACTTAATTTTGTTGTAAAGTTTTTTGTTATGCATAATAATAATAAAACGGTACGGTACCTACTTATATCGAACAACTAATTTTCGTATGTACCTATGTACCTAGCGAAATATGGCAGTATTTATTATTTTGTTAAAAATCGGAAAAAATGGTAAAACTTGAATATATTAAAATATAGTTTTATTACAAACTAGCGACTCACCCTCGCTTCGTTCGGGTTCGTCCCTAACTTGATTCCCCATACAAATTTTCATCCCCATTTTCACTCCCTTAAGAGATGATTTTCATGAAAAAGTATCCTATGTCCTTCCCAGGGTCTCAAATTATCTTCTTACCAAATTTCATCTAAATAGGTTTAGTAGATCCAGAGAT